TTAATCAGTTAGCTAAATAATCTATAGACATTGTTTTTGTTATTTTCTTATCAAATGTTAAGTTACACTGGTCAACAAATTTTTGGGAATGTTTTGTTTCCTCCACAATTTTGGGTGAACCAAGTAGATTTTAACATGCTGAACACAAGTGTGTATTTATCATGTCTGCATCACATATTTTTCCAGAAAAAGGTAATATCCTAAGCACTGCTGTATGTCTGAGAGTGACATACACTGTGACAGTAATGGTGTCACCAGGAAACAAAACTAAAAATGTTTTGCAGCAGATTTTTGTTTGTAATCACTGTCTGACGCTTTGCAGATGCGAGTCCAACAATAATCACCCAACATAGATGGATTCCACTTGCCCTGAAACCGTTTCCATCTCAGCAATATCCTGATGAAACCTTTCACAATGTTTGTCACTCACAGCACCCAGGTTGTTTGGAAAGAAGTCTAAGTGGGATTGAAGAAATTGTATCTTCAATTACATGTTATGCTTAATAATAATAATAATAATTATTATTATTATTATTATTATTATTATTATTATTTATATCCCACCCTATCTCCCCATGGGGACTCAGGGAGGTTTACAACAAGCTGTGGCAAGCATTTAATACCGTACAATACTAAACAAAGAATGAACTTACTGAAACCACCCAAATCCTAAAACATACCCAACATTCACATCAAAATAATAAGAAACACAGCACCAAACATTAAACAATGATATAACTAAATCAACTTCATTAATTTGTATGCCTGAAGCAGACTTTCAACCTGTTGGACATAATCTGGCACTTTGTAGTTGCCTAGAAAGTTACAGACAACATTCTTGCAGGCTATTCACATAACATGTTCCGCACCCTGTAGAAGACCATTAAAGTGGTTATCCTTCATCACATCTCAGATTTGTGGGCCAATGAAAACACCTTCTTCTTATGTCTGCATCACTTCTACATGGAAACATCTGCCGCAAATAAATTAAGGCTTCACTTTGCTTGTTCATTGCCTTAATGAAGTTTTTCATTAGCCTGAGTTTGATGTGTAAAGGCAGAAGAAATATTTTCTTTGGATTAACCAATGGGTCATGTGTGACATTCTTCTGCCATGGAACCAATTTATTGCGGGGAGGCCAGTCTTTTCTGCTACAGTGGAAATCTTTTGCTCGACTATCTCACTCATAAAGGAAACAGCAATATTTTGCATAATCAAGCTGTAGACCAAGTAGAATTGCAACTACCTTAAGATCACCACACAAATTAAAGTTGTGTCTCAAGTATTAAAGGTGGTTTAGCAGAAGTTGCATGTTCTCATGTCATTCTTTCATATGAACAGCATGTCTGACAAGTATAGAAGGGTAGATAAAAGGCCTAAGAATCTGTCAAGAGTACTTTGATTGTGCTTTTCCTGCATGACGGGGGTTGGACAAGATGACCCATGTGTTCTCGTCCAACTCTATGATTCTATGATTCTATGAATGATGAGTCAATAAGCAATCACTATTCTGTTGGGTCATGGTTGCACCTGAGAGCACAAAACAGTCCATTGATGTCACAGCAAAAGGTCAGACTGTCAGCTTGTCAAATCTTCATTGCAATGGATACATTTTGAGATTTTCGTACCGGATGAAAAAAGATTCCATCCTTGCAGCCTTGATCAAAGCAGCTCTGTCTGACTTTTTGATAAACGCAAATCTCTGACTACATCATTCAGTTCTGCCTGAGATATTAAATGAGGATCACTGGAAGTCAGGATCAGCATGAGCCTCCATCTGCATCTGATCACCATCATCGCCTACCTCCACATTCTCTAGTGTCCATGCCTCTGGCATGGCCGAGCAAGTTTCCACATGACAAGAACTTTATTCTTTAGGTATTTTAATAGATTCTCTTACATGTTACATAATGTTAGTTATGGCTGTCAGAGATATGAACAATATAAAAAAAATCATGCAAATTTTTGTTGAGGAAGAAAATGTTTTATAGTTTTGCAATAATTATAAAAAACAAAATGGCAGTTTCTCAAAAACTTTATGTGATGTGACAATTTTGTAGTTATTTATGTAATCAGCATAAAAAAATCTATTTGGTACACATAAAATTGTAAAGGAAACAAAATACCCTTTTCCCAGGAATTTGATATCATCTGCATATATTAAATTATTGATGTTCCTTTTGATTTCCACACTTAATCCCCCTGAGTTGAAGCCCACTTTCTCTATGATATGTGCTATTTTTAGAGTTATAAAAAGCCAACATGAAATGATTATATTCTACATATTGTGTCCTCAAAGTGATCTCTTGCCCAGAATATAGATTGCATATCTGTATAATCAAATGCTATGGCACTCCCATTTTTTTAGACCAGGTCACAGACGTTCACTATCTACAGCTAAAGGCTTTGCTGTCAGGACAGGATAATTTTCTTTTAAAAATAGTGCACTTCATTACCAAAGCCATTCTTGTTGGAAGTAAGTCTAAAAATAGCAGCCCAGCAACATATGGCCATTAGGATCTTGTGAAAGTGATCCCTGACACTGAGAAGTTTATGGGATAAGTTAAGGGATATGTGGTAGTCAGTTTAAAATTTCATTGGTATTCCTCAAAGGGAACCCACTGGAGCATGTTTGAAGAGTGACTATATGGTCATAGCCCTTGGATTTCATTTCTCATTACATACTGAACACATGTTCTTAGAATGGTGCTGCTTTCAAGAGGGCTGTTCTTTCCACCTTGTTGTGTCCCAGTTTTGTGAGTCAGAGAGACCATGAAGAATGACCGGTTGCTTACCTATAGCTCTAGTTCTTAAAGTGGTCATCTCTGAATTCACACATCCATACCTATCCTTCCCTCGACGTGCCCTTCTAATCTTCAGTTCCTTGGGCTACCGCTTCAGCATCCAGGGAACCAAGGGTTTTAGGCAGGACGGACACTATATAGCAAGAGTCTAGAAAGTTCCAAACAATGCACTGAGCCAGCTACTGATTACCCTCTTTGTGTGAGTCACAAAGACCATGAAAAAGAAAACATTTTTTTCATCACAAGTCTGTGTTAGTCATTTGCATAGTCAGGACTTCCCAAGCTATCATTTTGCAGCAATAGATTCTCATAGTATGATTAAAGCACAACAAGACCCAAGAAAGGAAATTCTACATCCTCTGCAAGTTTCTATTGACAAGTACATAGAGTACAAGCTGATTCAGATCTGATAAAAGTTTGTTTTGTTATAGTGAAAACTGCTGCTGTGGTTCACATCCCCATTTACATAAGTATACAAAAATTAATTAGAAAAAGCAGGGATGGACACCACAGAGGCTAAGCCCAGTTTTTGGAACAAACTACCAAGTGAGCCTAGGCTGGTTCCCACCCTGTTGTTCTTCTACTGGCAAGCAAGTATCTTTTTAATTAGGTAGGCATTTGGAAATTCCTCTCTCATACTGCAGAAGGGGCTTTAAACTGTGTGGGCGTTGTTTAACTTTGATTTACATGTTTTTCAATTGCACTGCATTTCTGTGCTTCTATTTGTTTTCTCTTTTAATTGTACTTGTAGAATCTGACTTGAAGGCCTATGTATAGGGAAAAGACAGCACAAAAATCAAAATTCTCAAATACCCCTGGTGTTCAAGCACAATAAAAATGTTAAAAATATTTCTGAGGTATTCTGCTTTCCCCTCTGGACACTAACACCTATTTACACAGCCACTATCTTTTCCTGGACTTCTCAACCAGGAAGGATCAGAACAGAATAATCTCAGTATAAAACCAATTATTGGATTGCAGGGAGATATGGAATGAATGGTGAGTAGTTTTTTTTTTTAAAAAAAATCTTAATTATACAAGACTTAGATCGAATCCAACAATACACTGAGAGCTGCTGCTAAGATTTTAGAAATAAAAAATGCACAAATCTGCATTCCCCTACCAAAAGAGAGAACCAAATCATATTCAAGAGACTAAATGTTAATCAAAACAAACAGTCCTTAGAATAGTCAGACTTTGTATTGTATCTTCTTTTCAGATAAGCCCAAAACAATTAGTTCTGAATGATTTTTGGGGTGGGGGGGGGGGTGGGGGGATGAAAAATAGTTATGAATTTCCATGCTGGGGGATATTTATATATCAGAATTTTTAGGAAAGTATTGTTTGATTTGACATTAGAAGATCTGGTCTACTACAAAAATAATGTTAATACCTATCTTGTGAATAATTAAAATTAGCAATGAGAAAAGTATAGCCAATTGGTAGCATGAGTAGCTTTTTTGAACCTTCCCCCTCCCCCTAACGTGCCCTCTTAAGCCTCACTCCAAGCCATTTTAGGCTCAGGAGAGGTCTTTCCTAAACAGGAAAAGTATTAGGCAGGTTACAAATCCATTTTTAAATGTTATGTTTCAGTCCCCATGTATCTCTCACCCAACTACTAGCTGTTGCCCACCTCTGTTTTAAAAATTGGAAAAGGAAGTGAAAAACAAAGGACTAAGCTGGTTTTGTTGGTCTTGCCATACTCTCACTAAACAGGGCAACTTGTGATAAGGAATTCATTGTATATTCTTCAGTTTGTATTGCTTTTAATACAGCTTTGTTTAGCAAGCACCCCATTGCTTCATTATGCACACCAGACATCAAGGCAAGTAAGTGCATCCTTCTCGTGTTCTCTGATGATACAAAATGCTAGAGAACTCAAATTAACTAACATCTCACCAAAAAGTCTGTATAACTTTCCAAACATACACCAGCATTTAGTAAAAGTTGTGCATCCTTTGTAACTAAGCTAATCAAATAAAATGCTTATTTCAAAAAAATTGATTTTTTTTGGAATAACATGAGTTTAAACCTAGAATGACTAGAATAATAAAAATTCAATAAAAATTATACAAACAGACCACATTTAATAATGCTGAGGAAAGCTGTCAGAACCGCATGCAAAAAATCATGTAATTGATTTTGTTTCACTCAGTGAAGTATTTCAATGCTGTGGCAATTAAGGTGCATACTCACCCCCTATTGCTGACAACTGCCTTTTTCAAGTGAATATAGTTAACAGGAAAAATCCCCTGGAAAAGAAATTAATTACTATTATTTGCGTAAGAAATAAGGTATAGGTTAGGTTATTTCAGGAAGCAAATTATTAAGTGGAAAATGATCAGAAATCCTGAAATTAACAAATGTATTTTCTTGTACAAATGAGCTATTTAAAACACTTTCATTTTAAAACCTTCCCAAGCAAAGAATCAACTAATATAAACACAATGAATTCATATAAGCTACCTACAAAACTCGACTCTCTATATAATTTGCCAAATGTTGTTTGTTCAGCTCCTTAACTTTTTAAATAGCAAGTCAATATGCAGTTTTCACTCATTTAAATCGTTTTAAAGTACTTATGATGGAAATAAATATTTCACAGTTATTATATGTGTGCACTGGGAAGGTTAATTTGCTCTAGTGGTAAATCAATTACAGGTTCAGGATCCCTTAATCTGGGAATTGCTAATCTGAATGCTCCACAATTGTCTATAGTGAATATTTGCATATATATAATGGGATAGTGACATCTTTGTTTTCGGATAGTTCATTATGCAGCAACCTAGTTTCGTGAATAAAATTATTAAAAAATACTGTGTATAACACTATCTTCAGGTTATGTGCATGAAGTGTATATGGCACATAAATTAATTTAATGCATAAATTGGGTCCTACCTTTAAGACATCTCATTATGTATATTGCATATATTCCAAAATCCCACTTCTCATCCAAAATCCAAACACTTTTTACCCAAAGCATTTCAGATAAGGAATGTTCAACCTACATCATAATTACTGGCAAACTCATCATCACTCTGGGTCCCAGAGAATTCTGGCTTAATGAGATTCCTAGCCAGATGTATATCCTGGCAATTTTAACTCTCCTAGACTTTATTACACATTATTTGTACCTAGTTTTGTTTGACTTATTCCAATTTTGAATAACTCCACTTTTTTAATGTCAGGAGCAACTTGAGAAACTGCAAGTCACTTCTGATGCGAAAGAATTGGCCATCCGCAAGGATATTATCCAGGGGACACCCAGATGTTTGATGTTTTGCTATCCTTGTGGGAGACATCTCTCATGTCTCATCATGGGGAGCTGGTACTGACAGCGGTAGTTCAATCTGCTCTCCCCGGTTTCAAACCTCCGACCTGTCGGGCAGCAGTTCTGCCGGCACAAGGGTTTAACCCACTGCACCACTGGGAGCCCTGATAATAACTCCAGTGCAATCTACCTATGTTTAGTATTGTTGAAAATATTAACTGTTTAAGTCTTGACAGACATTCATGAGGATACATAGGAGTCTGAATTTGCATTTTCCTCTTGGAACCTTCAGAGAGAAGTGCAATCTACCTATGTTTAGCTAAATACTCCTGTCTGAAGGCTGCAAGAGGAAAATGCAAATTCAGACTCCTATTTATTTATTTACCATATTTATGCCCCTCCTTTGAGTCCCAAGGGGGACTCAAAGCAGCTTACAGACTCCTATGTATACTTAAACAGTTAATGTTTTCAACAATACTATATTCACCAGAAATTCTCGCAAAGTTTAATACAATGCGGCTTTGTATGTATTTATTTATTTTACTTGGGCTTTAGGCTATGCTCACACCTACCACTCATACTTGATTATTAACTTTATTTTAATCAGTATTTAAATCATTCTTTGTAGCTATTAATCGTGCTACTGGTTACTGAATGTGATATTGACATACTGCCTGTAGCCAATGAAATAGTCATTAGGACCGTCAATATAATTTCATGCCTCATTAATTATAGTCCATGTTGTGGCATGCTTCTGAATTTCAGTGGCAAACGGCAATGCCAATATTGTGTGTGTGTGTGTGTGTGTGGGGGGGGGGGTCTTGGAAGAACTGGTAGGCCACCAAAAAGGACTTGAGGATGCATTTTGTTTCCTGTCCTCTTTAGACTTAAATGCTTTCTTGTTGTGTGATGTAGTAATTTGTGGGGCTTAAATTTTTGGTGTGAGATGCCATAAGACAGGGTAGCACTACACCGATTAAATAAATAATGTTTTATTGCAGCTTACAAAATCTATTCATATCTTGTCTTATATCCTCTTTACACTTTATAGTCTTGTTTCACAGAACAAAAAAGGAACAATTTTAAATGGTAATTATGACAACAAATTGCTGAATATTACAGGAAAAAAACCAACAACACAGTATTCTTGCAGTATGAGATTCATCCATCCATCTTGTTTAACAAGATTTTTGGAACGGTTATAGTACCATTAAATATAAGGGTATAATATCATTAAAAATGTAAGTGCAGTTTTAATTTACATTGAGAACAAGACTGCTTTTAAGAATCACAGGAAATACTTATCACAGCATGAGTGGCCTTGCTTCTGTATAGTTATTGTACAGCAAATCTATATTTGTATTTCCCCTCCAAGCATTATTTCCAGCACAACTGATTTCACCCAGAAGTTCATAATACACAGACTTTTTTAAAAAGTGGAAATACAGGACAGGCAGGAGATATTGTCAGAAAAGATAAAATGGGACTACACTATTTGTTTCTGTGGCACTCTGATGCTTACAAACATAATTGTAGTATGTCTTAATGATTTTTATATTAGAATTTTGAAGACACTGCTCACATTCAGATACAACATAATTGGTTCTTCAAACCATAATTTGGAGGACTGGAAATGAGCAATAGCCTTGATTATTTTTTTCTGCTTATCAGAAGGAACGTAATGCAGTGAAAAGCATAAGCTGCCATAGAAACATGCACAAATATTCTACTAGAACTGTTAACAGCACAGAAAAGGATTTTATCAACTCAGATGTCATATTGCCCATAATCTATCAGGTAATTCAATAACAGGAATCCCATGCAAAACTAAAGGGAAGCAAGCAAGCAAACAAAAATATTTCTCTTCCCAATCTGAAGCTGCACAGATAAGTATCTACAGGTATACTTATTAACATTGTGTTTCTAACTTTGAAATCTATTTGCATGTTTATATCAATATTATTTTTAAGAACAGAAACCCGACTCACTTTTATGTTGGGCTTTTTTAATGAGAGTCCTCTGTACCATCCTGAAAGACATCAAAATAAACCACATTAAGAAATGTACATTTTGCATGCAGTTAATATCAGTTGCCATTCCTAATCATGTACATATCCTAGCACCATCTCTATGTAGCGTCCTCTGACTCTTCTTAGAAAACAAACCAACCAAATGGTGTACAAGATATGTGGATTGATAGACCCTCCCATTACCCACAAACAGATTTTCTTGTAAGTGGAGTGCTTTGAGATAAATAGTCCAACAAACAATGCTAAACACTTAAGTCATACACTGCGACACATTAAGCCAATTTTGTTATCTCCAAAATTATCAGTCCTGTGCAGAAGATCTATGGCATTTAAGTAACAACAAACCACCAAATTCCCCTTCTGAGATCAATAGTAATGGACATAGGGGATATGTTTGGGAACAGGGTACACAATGTCAGATTATTCAGGCTGATTCCTCTGAAAAGAGACAACAGCTAGCATAAATCACATCATAGCAGCAGATGCATGGTTGAAACTGGTTCAATTTTGTAAAAATCACTCTCCTGTGCCTTAAAATATCTTATCTGACAGCTTGATCTTTGGTTGACTATAAACCAGAACTCCATATGGTCTTAGGTTCATAACAATTCCCACCGCACTGAATAGAGCAAAACATAATTGATATTCATATTGCAATTCCAAAAATGTATTGGTATGCCTGCTTTTGTGAGGCTATTGTGTAACCCAGGCAGCGTAATTACCAGCAGCAAGCAGATGAGTTGTCATTGAGATCCATGGTAATAGGACTGCTAGTGCGAAAAGGGAGGAAGTCCTCAGTTGAGTAATTTAAAACCTTCTAAAGCTGGCAGAGAAAATGGGTCATATGTTACTATTTAGAGAAAAGGTCTTAAACAAAAATCAAATATTTGGAGAGGCCAGTATTATTGTGGATACTAAACACAGAAGTTAACATGGAACCAATGTATGCATGTTCCAACTAAAAAACAAGTTGTTTATGTGTAACTGCATTTCTCCAAATGGTGAATTCACATATATAAATGAATATTTAAGAGCAGTGTAGCTTTCTGGTGAGAACACTGCTTTCACTACCTATGCTGGAGATGTTCCTGAATGCAAACTATGCTGCCTCAATCTTCTGTCTGCTTCATGAGATTTTGAACAGGGGAAATGTGAAAATATGGGGAGGAAAGTAGGTTGTGAGAGTTCAAACAAAAACACTCAAACAACCACAATTACAACAAGTTGTGCCTTGTTCCTCTCCATTTGGCAGGCAGGAAACAGAGGTAAAATAGTTGTAATGCAGACATCTGAGTAAACGGAAAGGTAACTTACTGAATGAGTCCCGTTGGGGAGAGAGGGTGGTTTATAAATAAAGTGTTGTTGCTGCTGTTATTATTGTTGTTGTTATTATTGTTATTGTTATTATTATTATTATTATTATTATTATTATTATTATTATTATTAGGGTATAGTAAACCAAAATTGATGACATCCAAAATGCATTATCTCCAGGGATCCAGCTAATGTGTATTATGGAGGTTGCTGGCTGAACCCAAACTGTGGCTCTGCACAAATCTGGAGAGAGACTCCACCTCCAAAGAGCCTCTGATGTTGCAGCTGCTCTGGTGGCATGCAAGTGTTGCGCCATATGCAGGTTTCCTAGGTAACATACTAGGGAAATAATCTGAAATATTATTTTAGTCAGATCTTGTGATGGAACAAAAAACCTTGTTTGTGACTACCATAAGCAAAAAAAAAAAAAAAAAGAGAGAGAGAGAGAGAGAGAGAGAGAGAGACTGGTGGAATTTAGACACACAGTCAATACAAAATTTCCAAAACATAATGAACATTTAAGGGCTAAAGCACTGTTTCTAAAGGTGTAGCAGGACTGCTATAAAAAGCAGGTAAGACAATATCTACCCTGTATTAGCATTACATGCTATGCAAAAGGATATTTTTATGGTAGGACAGCTGGTACAATCTCTTACACCTGACAGGATTTCCCGAGGAACCAAACTAAATATGTCAAACAGCTACTGGACAGAAGCAGTGGTGGTGGGGAACATATTGATAGAGGATCTCTCAGAGATAATGGCAGGAGAACCATAGCTAACACTTGTTAGTACTGCACAGAGGAGGCACCAGTAAACCATTTTTGAATGACCTTTACTATGAAAATGCTATAATAAGACAATTAAACTGAAACAAGCAATAATCCTAAAATATTAGACTTCTATGTATGAAGGCACTCAATAGGGAAGAGCAGATGACAAATACAAGTAGTACCAGGGCTAATAATGCAACTAGACTAATCCAAAACAATTTTCATACACCTGCCCAAAATAAAATCCAAAGCTGCATAACATATATTACCAAAACACAGAATGTGAAAAGCATGTATAATAGAAAACTAGACATGATAAAACAAAACTAGAATTGATAAATATTGCAATGCTTAGGTGAGTGAGCTAAAGCAGACAGAAATGGAACATACCCTATTCAATCAGATAATGACACAGTGTTTTACTTGGGAAATGCAAATCAAAGAAGAAATGTCTGGTATTAATAGTGAGTAGACATGTAGTAAAAGCAGTCAGAGAATGTAATGCAAAGTCTGAGTAGGCTTCAGGTAAAACCCATCAATACAACCAAAGTCCAAGTTTATGCTCCAATAACAGAAGAAGAAGTTAAAAGATACTATGCTGGAGTTCAGTAAGACAATGATCATACTTCAACCAGGACATATTAATAATTATGAGAATGTTCCAATTATAGGATTAGAACACAAAAATAGGAAACAGAGCAGAACCAAAGATTGTAAGAGAATTTGGCTGAGGATCAAGAGATGAAGCAGGATAGCAACTTATTGAATTTTGTGAGACAAAAAAATGTGTTCATCAGGAACACATTCTTTAAGCAAAGAAACAACTGTGTCCATTGACATTATCTGACAGCCATTATAGAAATCAAATAGACTAAATAATTGGAAGCAGAAGGTGGAGAAGCTCCATTCCCCTAAAAAACAAGACATTTTGATAATTATAGAAACGTTCCAATCACAAGATTCAACACAAAAGTAGGAAACAGAGCAGAACCAAAGATTGTTGGAGAATTTGACCTAGGATCAGGAAATAAAGCAGGAAAACAACGTATTGAATCAACTCAGACAAGAAGACAAATAAATCGGCCCCTGAACAAATCAATCTTGAGCTATAATTAGAAGCTAAAATGACTAAAGTGAAGCTACTGTACTTTGGATATATCATGATAACACATGATTCATTAGAAAAAACAATGCTGCTTGACATGGTGAAAGTCAGTAGGAAAAGAAAAAACTACATTGCAAGTGGATAGATTCAATTAAGGAAGTTGCGGTCCTGAGTTTGCAAAATCTTAACAGGTCTGTTGATGATAGATTGACTCTCATTCTTAAAAGTCAGCATTTCACTAACAGAACCTAGAAACTGACTTCTGAAGAAGGAATATGTCTTACAAAAGCTGATTTTTTGTTATGTAAATCAACTACAAAACTTTAATATCCAATCAGATACCAACAATGAAAAGGACCAATGTTATATAGGTTATGAAGTAGGTAAATACAGATTACCAAATCCCTTGAGGAACCACTAAAACCACTGAATTAGAAAACAAAAGCCATTTAGGATTGTAGATTACGTTGTTGAACCACAACTAGCACAGGCAAGAAAGTCAAGCCCTGTTGCTTGAAATAGAAAATGGAAAAATGTGGAGAAACAGCAAGATGAAGACTTCATTTGGAAAGAATTTGCAAAAGTCCTGTACTTATATTCTGTAAGAACTTCTATAACCCACTTTTGAGTAGAGGGTTTTCTAAATATTCAGTACTCTCATATCTTTTGATGTAACCCACCCAACCCTGCATACTAATAGGTTAAATAAATCATTATTTGGATGATAGCCCTTGCCCCAGGTGTGATAGAGCAGATCTAGTTCCATTAGAAATCACAGAAACTCATGGCAACCATTAAGTTAAAAATCTCTGAATTTGATTGGTTTTCCTTCATACAGACAATCATTTTCATCCATAAAGAAAGAAAAGAGCAAAGTAGAGGTGCAGTCTAGTTGAAGAGGAACACATCTCTTTGAGCTGCCTTCCTTATTCCAGTCTTATTGGAATATTTGTGGCATTTTTGTTGGAAAGTGAAAGAAAGGTATGGATGTTCATTTGATTCCAATCTCATTCTCTCTGCAACTGCAGTGTCAAAAGGGGACTACTTATGTGTAATGTGAAGTAAATTCTCATTTTAGACAATCTATCAAGAAATTGTCCTCTCCTCAAAGGTGAATGGGTATTAGGGTAATACACTATGGTATTCACTGATTCTAGTGAGTTTGAAATGAGTTTTTGAATGACTGTCATTTTGTTTGTTTGGAGATAATATAGTGGTAGTATTGCCTGTGTCATCTGTTCCAAAGCTACGCTCTCAATGCTCGAAGGGCTTTTACCACCGCAGGCAGTTCTAGTACACAGATACTCAACTAGTGTCCCTGAACATTGTTGCAGTGTGTCGCAGCTGTCAAAAAACACATAGGTCATCACCATAACAGTCAGCTGAGGTGGATAAAATGATATCACAATCATAATGTGTAGAGGTTATTCCACAAGATCAAGCTGCAACAAATGACAGTGGGAATAAAGGTCTTGTGGTGAGATTTCTTGTTAAGACTGAAATGAGCAAGAAACCACGTGAAGGCTTTAGAAGTGTAGGTGAGCAAACCTTCCTTTTGCTGTAGTGATAGTATGAAATCAAGTAGACAGATAATGACCTTATGCGTGGCTACCAAATGTCTGAAAAGCTAGGTGATTTGTCTTTTCATTAGAAAGGCACTCCAAGCATTTCTCAAAATGTGTGAAATATATGTGATGCAGTGGGGAAACACATGGAAGGAAATTGTTTTGGTAGTGAAAGAAAGATATCTATGAAACTGTGGTGAAGGAAACATGGCAATATGAAATACTGTAATGAAGCTGCTTAGC